TTCCAGTTTTCATGGCCATATAATGGGGAGAATCCATGGCAATGACTTAATACCCAAATCAGGATCAATTGCCCGCTGTGCAAAGTAAAGGATCTGAGGATGGATACAGAGCCTTCCAAAACCTACTCTAGAAGTTCAGGGATGATGTCCCTAAAATTGTCCTTTGAGATCAGAATGAGTAGGAGTTAACATGCCAAAGGAGAAAGGACAGAGCAGAGACAGTGTTCCAGGCAGAGGGAAAGTTTGCAGCCAGTACAAGGGGTAGGAAGGAAGGGGTAGCCTCTGGGAAGAAGGTTCTTAGGCTTCCAGGGTATGCCTGGGGGCAGTGGATCGCCTGGGGGAGGGGAGGAATAGGTCCTCTACTTTATAAGTTTGGATGAGTTTTATGCTATTATATTACATAACCAACATTTGTTTTCTCTTAAGTAGCTAAAAACTGATGTATATGCTACATGTTGGCATAAATTAAGAACTTGGACAAGAGACTAACTTGCCAGAATTCAACCTTTGAGTGTTTATGTCTGATCTTAAAAAAAAAAAAAAAAAGAAAAGAAAAGACGTTATGTCTTGGCAGTAAAAGTAACTTCTTGGTGGTAAGAGGAAAACAGGAGTTTATATATAATTGCTAGAGTTTAGTTTGTCCTGCCAATTTTATGGTAAATTCCCTCAGAGCCTACTTGCTTTTAAGACTGCAAAACCTGATGAAAAGAAGCATGGTTCTACCCTACTTCTTGAGTTGTAAAGACATCATAATCCTTGCTCCTGATGCTTCATGCATTCCCTCCATGCAACAGTAAGTATTTATAGAGCCCTCTTTTTTATTAACATGAATTTCAACAAAAGAGCCAACAGCCCTTAAATCAATCAACTGGCCATAAATCTAGGCAGCTGCCTTATGAGTCACTCAAAGATCCGCACAGTGAATGGGCTACTGTGCTTCCAACCAGGAGACAGAGCTCGACCCTCCCCAAATGGCCAGTCTCTCTTAAATCAGTAAAATTGAGATTAAGGGGCAGTCAGAGCTGCAAGTTTCCACAAATCTTCAGAGGCAATGTGGTAGGTGATGCAAGGATCTACAGGCCTGAATACTGGTATTAATTAGCTGGAGAAGAGGAGCTCCTATTATGAATTTCAAGTGGACTTTCAACTGATTACCATCCTTCATTTCTCCAGCAATAGAATTAGTAATTTCTGCATATTAATTAGTAATTTCTGCATACTCGTGGGAGTATTTGCAGGGTTCATATGGTAGCATGAAAAAGCTTTAAGTGGAAACTTGTCTAGTGATTATGCATTTTCTGCCCTACTCCATGGCTTAAGCTGGAGATAATCACTAATGACACAGTCTTGGTGTGCACTTGTTCAACCAGAAATCTTCCAACCTGCAGATGTCCTTCATGCACTCAGTTCAGTAAAGTCTGGATTAAATAAAACCTTGGGAAATGGGGTGCTATGGCTTATTGAATTTGGGGTCACTAGAACTCCTTTTCTTTGCAATACATAAGATAGGACATCTGCAGATATTGATGCCTTAAAATACCATCTTCAAATAATTGGACCTTTTTCTCATTGATAAACGTCTTATAGTGCAGGGTTGCATGTGTGCATGCTCAGTCGCTCAGTCATGTCCTCCTTTTTGTGACCCCATGGACTCTAGCCCATGGGCTCCTCTGTCCCTGGGATTCTCCAGGCAAGAAAACTGGAGTGGGTTGCCATTTCCTCCTCCAGGGGTCTTCCCTACCCAGGGATCCAACCGGCATCTTCTGTGACTCTTGCATTGGCAAGTGGATTCTTTACCACTGAGCCACCTGGGAAGCCCAGGGCAGGGTTACCCTTCTGAATATTAATTCTGATTGTATGATACTAAGGATGATTATGCTGGGAAGAGCCTGAACTGATACTCAGGCCTCATGATAGAAGTTATTTTAAAATATATCCTGCATCTCTGACAGGATATTTTCTTTTGTTGTTCAGTTCCTCAGTCTTGTCCTACTCTTTGTGACTCCATAGACTGCAGTATGCCAGGCTTCCCTGTCCTTCACCACTTCCAGGAGTTTGCTCGGACTCATGTCCATTGAGTTGGTAATGCCATCCAACCATCTCATCCTCTGTCACCCCCTTCTCCTCCTGCCTTCAATTTTTCCCAGCATCAGGGTCTTTTCCAATTTTCTCTTAGTTTGCTGCTTTCTCCATTCATAAAACACCTACAATTAATCTGCTTAACTGAGGTCTATTTAATATTGGATGATGAATAAATGGTCTATCGTCCTGTTGTCTTTTTAAAAAATAATTTGAAAAAAAGCACAAAAATACACCTTATGTATTACGTGAAAGAACATAGGAGTTGGAAAAGAAAATTTAACAGCTGTTGCTATCTACTGAGAGTTTCTGTATTGCTAGGTATTGCTAAGTGTTTATTTTATTTCATTTAATACAACAATATGTGGAGAACACCGAGAGATAAATTAGCTCTCTATTGTGCTCAGTTGCTCCAGCTCTTTGCATCTCCATGGACTGTGGCCCACCAGGCTCCACTGTCTGTGGGATTTCCCAAGCAAGAATACTGGAGTGGGTTGCCATTTCCTTCTCCAGGGGATCTTCCCAACCCAGGGATCAAACCCAGGTCTCCTGCATCGCAGGCAGATTCTTTACCATCTGAGCCACCAGGAAAGCTCAACAAAGAGCCCTTAAGAAACACATCACACCATCATCATCATCATCATCATCACGATCACCTTCTTGCTGATAAAGAAATGGAGCACCAGAGAGGTTAGGAATTTTCCTGGGGCCGCAGCTGACAGCAGTTCTACTTGACACTGATGCTGTGGTGATGTGACTCAGGCGATGTGTATAACATAACATGTAGGGCATGTCAAAGTCTTCTGATAGAGGGCAAATTGTGGTTTAAAGGCAGGCTAAAAAGACTGAAAGGCCTTTTCTTCGGAAGAGGAAACCACACCAGACAGACAAGTGACGTTATCCGGAGACCCTTTGGCTGGGCTTGGTTGAGACCCAGCTCCTGATGAGGTGTGACCTGGGGCCTGTCTTTTCTGTCTATAGAGACCACAGAGGGGCTGTCAGGCGACCACTTAGAGGAAGCTGCTGGAAATAGGGCGCTCATTCTCCTGGGCAGGAGGTGCAGTGGGTGGGGGGCTAGCATGGTGGATGAGAGGGGTGTTCCACCCAGAAGGAGTTGGAGAATCCCAGGCTGATTTCCAGGACCACCACAACACTGCCCCTCCTCGGTCTTCTGAGCGTGATGTCAGGATTAGTAGAGTTCTACCATTTCAAGTCTCTGAGATGTTCGTGAGGCACCCCTTGGGTGTGTTGTCACCTTGAGGCATGATAAAGGGAACACTAAGCCTGTTCCCTTCACTCTTTGGGATTGTATCCCCCTGGATATTAACTATTTGAGTATAAACCTTGAACATTTTAATATGAAGCTTTAAAAATTAAGCAAAAGTTACTGCTGAATGTAATGGACACATTGTCATTTACAAGGCTGGCAACATGGAAAATGTTATTTCAGAATAGCACACTCCTCTCTCTTTTAAAATATGGTTTCTGATGCTGTCATATTGGATAGGACCTCAGATTCCAGAATCTGCAGTTTGTCTCAAAACTCACACGCCAGAGAGAAGCTCCAGGGGCTCAAAGGACAGTCTGGTACCCAAAGCCGAGGCTGACTTTGTCAGACCACTGGGATACTGTCATCAGGCATCATCCAGGTTTTGATGAGGAACCATGCTTGGTGCTAAGCAGAGAAGCATCACTTCATAGCACAAGAGAGGTGGTGGAGAAATTTGCTCTTGAGGGCTATAGGGTCAAATCAGAAATGGAATCTTTGAAGAAGGTAGCAAGGTAAAGTCAGTTTCCCTTTGTACAAGAAATCTCAGCGTCTAAAGACCTCCAAATTTCAATCAGTTCAGTTCAGTCACTCAGCTGTATCTGACTCTTTGTGACTTCAAGGACTGCAGCACTCCAGTCTTCTCTGTCCATCACCAACCCCTGGATCTTGCTCAAACTCATGTCCATCAAGTCAGTGATGCCATCCAACCACGTCATCCTTTGTTGTCCCCTTCTCCTCCTGCCTTCAATCTTTCTTAGCATCAGGGGCTTTTCCAATGAGTCAGTTTGCATCAGGTGGCCAAAGTAATGGAGTTTCACCTTCAGCATCTGTCCTTCCAATGAAAATTCAGGACTGATTTCCTTTAGGATTGACTGGTTTGATCTCCTTGCAGTCCATGGGACTCTCAAGAGTCTTCAACACCACAGTTCAAAAGTATCAATACTTCAGCGCTCAGCTTTCTTTATGGTCCAACTCTGACATCCATTCATGACTACTGGAAAAACCATAGCTTTGACTATATGGACCTTTGTTAGCAAATTTCAATGGAGATGCCAAATTTCAATGGAGATCCTAAAAAAGAGATGTACAAGCAAAACATTAGGCTCAACATCACTGAGCTATGATAATGTCCATGCACTGACTTCAAGATGGCCTCATGATTGCTGGTAAAAAGCACCTGAAACCCATTAGAGGATTTTATCATCTTCATAAAACCTGACCCTAGAGCAATTTGTCATCTGCCTTTGCAATGAGAGCAGGAGAAACTGCTGTCATATTTGACAATAACCAACATGGACCCTGTGCGTTAACATGGAAATAAAGGAAGGCGGATGATATACCCTTAGGTTGCCGTCTGATGAAATGATCACAGGATAAATTAGCTTGTGACTTTAGGAGAGCAGACTAAGAATCAGTGGTTAATTCAGCCAGAGGGAGAGCCAATCCTTGGCAAAGGTGACATGAAAATGCATTCTGACTTTCCATGCTTTATGTTATGAGTATTAACACTCTTAAGGGTCACAGGAAGTGTAAGAGAACTCAAAAGTGCTCCAGCAGTGAGCTTTATCTTCCGGGTAAAGAAATCTTCTTTACTGCTGAATTTATAAGTAACTCACCGAAATGTTGCCAGTCTATGAGTTATCCAACTAACCTGCTTGTCCTTCTCGACGAAAGCCTCCATCTGCAAGGCTTTTAAATCCTGTGTTTCCTGGCGTAAGGGGATTCTGAGTTTTTTTTTAAAAAGCAAGAGAACTTGTACAATCTCACTATTAAACTGGGGATCGAAGAAAACCACAGAGACAGCTCTCACATCCTTGGGCTGAGACAGAGTTTCCTTATCGAAATAAATGGTAAGTAAAAGTGTCCAGAGACCCTGGCAGCCAGTATCTCTCTGGCAGTTGCTGGGGAAGGGTTCTCCACCTCTGTTTGGGCAGAATGGGTGAGCCCTGTTCATCCTTGGCTTTCTCACTCTGCTTACCCCTGTCAGAGGTGCTAAGGATTGTGTGGGGGTGGGGAATCTATCAGAGATTTTCAGAAGCAGGTAAGGAATCCAAGCAGGGAATTGCAGTATCAACTGTCCTTTCACATCTTCCTGAACATGGAAGGAAAATCCAAAGTCAAGTGGACAAGCACTTTTTTTAGAGAATATGAAGAGCTTCCTATTTCGGCTGCAGCACGTACTCAGAATTCTGGTTACTTGCTACCTTCGGGCTTTCAGAAAACTAATTTCAAAGCCGCATGAGTCATGCATCTAGGGAGGTGGACACAAAACACAAGTATACATTTTCTAAATATGTAAACACATACGAAAAAGTTCTGAAAATGTATTCAACAGAATGATAATAATGGCTGACTCAGGAGAGGGGATGGGGAAGGTGATAGACAAGACTGGAGCAACGGCCGGCTAAAGGAGACATTAGTCTAATTTGTTCTAACATTTTAACATTTTACATGGGCTTCCCAGGTGGTGAGAGTGGTAAAGAACCCCCCTGCCAATGCAGGAGACTTTAGAGGCACAGGTTTGATCCCTGGGTTGGGAAGATCCCCTGGAGGAGGGCATGGCAACCCACTCCAGTATTCTTGCCTGGAGAATCCCATGCACAGGGGAGCCTGGCGGGCTATAGTCCATGGGGTCTCAAAGAGTAGGACTGCAGCAATGGACAGAAGCACAGGGAGAATGTTATTTATTCCTGTGCCTTATTCCTAGAACCCTCTGCAGGCTTACACTTCAGCATTTTCCACTTCGGAGTCCAGTTGAATAACTTAGGTTTGGGGCGTTGAGGATGTGCTTTTAGGCCAACGGATTATGTGATTAATAAAAGAACGCAGCCTATCAGCGTTTGATAGAAATGTTGCATCCTCCCTGTGGTCACTCCACAAGCAGAGCACAGTTTGTTCTCTCCCGCCTCTTTGGAGAAGGTCGTCACAAAGCCTGACTTCTGGTTCTAAATAGAAAGCCATTGTTGCAGGCTCCACCAAGTCTAGTTACGAACACAGATAGGAGGCTAGGAAAGTCCCTCCATCCACTTAACGCTGAACAATTGATTCTCGGAAGCAGATGAGAAATAGAGGCGGGACAACATGGAAGGCAGCCAGCCCCCTTCACCTTGGCCTTCCTGCTTTCCCGGTGCCCAGGCCTCCCCAGCCTGGCCAACCCCCACCCTCATTCTGGCTCCTACCGCTCTGCTCCATGCACCTCATGCTCCAGCCAAAGGAAACCACCTTGCTTCCTGAATATTCCTGTGCTTTCCAGGAGCCTGCCTTGTTCATGCCAATTCCGCTGCCTCCTATTGCTCCTCCATGGCCCAACTCCAAGGCCAGGGCCTTCATCTAGTCTTTCTGAATCCACCCAACCAGATGCCATCTCTTCCTCCCCTGACCCCTGCCATGATCTGAAGGCTCCCTAAGTCTAGTTAGAAATGCACATTTAGCATCCTCCCTGGAAGGTGTGAGCCCTCAAAGGCAACTGGTGTGAGTTACACAAGTCTTCCTTCCCACGCGCCAGGCCTTATTCTAGAATCTGGAGACATTAAAATGGTCAAGGATATGTCCCTATGCTCCTGGAATTCATAGTTCAGTTGTTGTTGTTCAGTTGCTCAGTTGTGTCCGACTCTTTGTGACCTGTGGTGTGCATCATGCCAGGCTTCCCAATCCTTCACTATCTCCCAGAGTTTGCTCAAACTCATGTCCATTGAGTTGATGATGCCATCTGACCATCTATCTCATCCTCTGTCACCCCTTTTTCCTCTTGCACTCAATTTTTCCTAACTTCAGTGTCTTCTCCTTATTGTTCCAAGGACCCTCAAGAGTCTTCTCCAGCACCACCGTTTGAAAGTTTGCAAAGAAGTCAGGCTCTCGTGTTCCCAGAGCTGCTCAGCATCATGGAGACAGTTGGTGTGGAAGCCTGGGGACCATTGTCTTAACCTGACAAGATTGGAAATTATCCAGCTTCCACACTGACTGTCTCCATGCACTGAGCTGCTCTGGGAACATAAGAGCCTGACTTCTTTGCAAACTCTGTCTCAAAACTGGGAGGGAGAGTCATTCTGCACAGGACATATGGGGCAGGGTAGAACCCAGAGGGGAGGCCGCCTTTCCATTGGAGAGGGAAGAGGCGATGGAAGTTAACACCGAGATGCACAATTCAACCATGGAGGTAGAAATCAGTAACCTACCTGTATGATCTCTGGGAAGAGGGTTAAGCACAACAAATATTCTGCTCCCTGGCGTGCGCAGGTGTCCATGTGTAAGGAGCAACAGCTGTTGGTGGTCAGGAAAGTGGTCACCCCACTTTCCCCTCTAGAAAGGCTGAAGGAACCTGGCTCTGGCCACAGGGATGCTGGGTCCTGTGGGTCCTTCCATACCTGTGGCTTGAAGGACTGGCCTCTAGGTTAGGATGGAGGTGAGATGGAGAAGGCAAGCCTCCCCTGACCAGTTCCTTGTGTTTGGCACTCTGGAAAACATATTCAGCCTCCAGAAGAAAGCAAGAGCAAAGAGTTGGAGCTCTGCTGTGCCCCAGGGATCTGGCAGGTGAGGGCAGGAATGGGACAGATGGAGCGCGGCTACTTCCGTGTCCTGAGGAGAGGGAAAGCTCCCACTGGCCTCAGGTAAACTCTCTTCTACAGGGTAGGCAGGCATTGGATGGAGAGAGTGCACCCTGGAGCCCAAGTGCCTAGGTTCAAAGCCTGGTTCTGTCACCTACTGCCTGGGGGTCCTACGGTGGATGATTTAACAACTCTGGCTTTGGTTTCTCCATCTGTAAAATGGGAACAGTAAGTAGAGTTGCTAAAAAGGATTACATGAAAAGTGCTTAGAGGAGCACTTGGCAGAGAGTCAGTACTCAAAAAAATGGTGGCTGTTTTTATGAGAGTAGGATACCATAAATATGCTATCAAATCTCCTCCTTCCTCTAACCTAGTTGGTTCAAACCAAATTCAGCCATTGACAAGGTGACATGGCCCCTGACTTGGTGGTGCTTTTTCCTCTGTGAGCTAAGGCCAAAATATCACCAGTCTTGAGTGTCCAGGCCCTTCTGTAGTCTGCTTGACAGGTCAGGTAAGTCCTGCTATTGTGTCCCCATCTAAAGATGTCCACACCAGACAAAGCCTGATTATAGCATCTATCTACACATGCTTAAAACTTGAGCAACTCTTTGAGAACAAAAACCATGTCTAATTACCTCCCTTATTATCTTCACAAACATTTTAAAACAACTCCCTCTTCTGTATCAGGTGCACGAACAGTTGTTTATCATTTGGGTTCTTCTCTGGAAAGGTGTGGGCTTCCCTTGTGGCTCAGCTGGTAAAGAATCCGCCTGCAATGCGGGAGGCCTGGTTTCGATCCCTGGGTTGGGAAGATCCCTGGGCTGGGAAGATCCCTGGGTTGGGAAGATCACCTGGAGAAGCGAAAGGCTACCCACTCCAATATTCTGGCCTGGAGAATTCCATAGATTGTATAGTCCATGGGGTCGAAAAGAGTTGGACATGACTGAGCGACTTTCGCTCTCACTGGAAAGGTGTTCTCATTTGGACAGGAGCTAGAACTCAGTCATGCCAGTGGGTTAAACACAGTTCCTCATTCTAGCCTGGAGCTCTTGCCTCATCCAAATGGTGGCAACATTTTCATGCTGCGTGTTGGCAAGAGAGAGAGAAGTTTCAGGGCAGGAGGTGTGAAGCTGGTCTAGATCCATTCCCGCCAGAACGAAGGCCACTTGGGACTCCACTGCTGTGAATGTCACTGCGGGTCTCAGGTCCACCAAATGAACACATTCTGTTTCCTGAACCCACCAAGATGATCTGAAATAAAACCAGTGCCACTTTATTTCAATCAAGTGTAACTCACATTTTTATATCCTAAAGCAAAATATCTGTAATATCTTGAAATTTTGAACAAAAATAAAGTTCCCCTATGTTCATAAGCAGGCTTCCCAGGTGGCACTAGTGATAAAGAGCCCACCTGCCAATGCAGGAGACGTAAGAGACACAGGTTTGATCCCTGGGTCAGGAAGATCCCCTGGAGGAGGGCATGGCAACCCACTCCAGTATTCTTGCCTGGAGAATCCCATGGACAGAGGAGCCTGGAAGGCTATAATCCATGAGGTCGCAGAGAGTCAGACATGACTCAAGTGCCATACCATGGCATGTTCATGAGCACAAAGCTCTCCCATTTGATGGATTTGGTACCTTTATAATTGGTTTAATTGCACTTTTACGGATATGATTTGATGATGTTAGAATTGATTTACAAAGGGTCAGGAAAGTAAAGAGGAGGAAGGTGATGAATGAATAAATTGGAGGATGAAGAAAGCTAACAAGGATATCATAACCACAAGAGTTTACCAGGTGATTGTTCATAAGTGTTTTATTCAAGACATGAGCAGACACACAACATCCTACCCATTTTGCAGATGGGTAAGTTGTAGTCTGGGGATGTAATCTGGATGTAATCTCCTTGGGTTTTTACAGATGCCACACACACTGTTTCTGCTTCTCATGGGAAGGACGGAGGGGTAAAGGTGAACAGAAGAGGGCTTCAGACAAGCTTGGAGTGAACACAGGAGGTGCTGGCATTGGGCCAGCAGGGGACAAGGCCAGGACAGCTGCTGGCCGGCTACCAGCACCGCTGGTGCAACTACCACAGGCCTCCTGGATGGACCTGCATAAGCACCCGCGGTGCCCACGTCTGCCCAGAGCTGCTCTTATCTAAGTGCTCGGAGACCCTCCAC